CTCCCTCCGTCTTTAAATTGGTTTTTAACAAATATTCTTTTGTTCATCCATCGATCTTTTACTATACAAAGAATTCGGCAACGCATATTTGAAATATCGCATGCGACTTCGCCAAACTCGGAGATGTTGAAGGTGGCTCGTAAAGTTAAAATTCAACTGAGACACTATAAGAGGTGCCCAAATAATCTTCTTCGACAATCCAATGAAAAGCAAAATGTTACGGAATGTTGGAAACAAACCCGCTCTTACGAAAGATTACGCGGGATTTGACAAGTGAAGGGGCCATTGACAGACCGCAGACGTAGGTTAAAGGATATGCCAAATCTCTCAATCCTAGGAGAATTTTCAATAACTTTGCATGATAAAAACACCTGGATACGACAGTTGCACTTTCAAAAGTCTCTTTTTTGAGGGTTTGGCTACAAATATTCTACTGTGGCCTGCCAAGAAATGAAAAGAAGTAGGGCATCCCTACGGAGTTCCAATAGAAATCTCGTCGTTCAGTGTTAGATAAATAATTACTTTATTCGTGGCCGGATATAAAACCACGATAAATATGTACAACATCTAACCAGAACTAGTCGCCTGGTCCAAATTAGATAAGCGACAGCTCTAAATTACTACTGCATACTACACTATCCATAGTCACCCTTAATTTTTGAGAAAAGGAAAGAAATAAGAAAACATCACGCTTGCGATGAACAACGTTTACCAACATAGTTTCCTGTAAATTTATTCCCAGAAAAGACCTTGACTTAAAAATCTAACTTAAGTGCTTGTATCTATGAATCTTGCTCTCTCTAATTAATATAATACATCGAACAACTCAACTGAAGCGAGAGAGCTGAATTTCAATAATGTTCAGAAAAGTATTTCAAACAATCATCCAAGTTATTTTAGTCTTCGCAAAGCAAACATTCGACAGCTTTTCATAAATGCACGGCAGTAAACAACTTTTATAACAACTGCCTTAACTGAACCAAAATTTGACAGAACTTTGAACGAAAGCCAATCAATTCTTAGCAAACTCAAAAGTTGGCAGGAAGACAACTCACAGTATCAAAAGAATCTCCTGCAGTATAATTCGCTGGCGGCATGTTCTCATCGTTTACCGGGTCAACTACAACTGGCACCCAAACTCCTACTTCAAACGTGTTCTGAAATAGCGAACTAAGCGAGAAACCATTAAGCTTTAGACCAAAGTATTACCTCGTCCTCTATTTGATCTTTCGCTAGTCCTGCAGCGATTTCACTAGCACGGTTTTGCTCTCTAAGCTGTTGGATTTTTGTAACAATGAGTGATTGTTTCTCTTCATAAGTGGCAGGATATGACAGCGGCGCCCATTCATAGTTATCAGGTACTACTGCACCCTCCTTGAAACGCAAAAATATTTAAGAGGAAAAAAAAGGAAATGCTAGTAGTGAACCACCTTGGTATAGCCTAAGGCATCTACTAAAATTCTTTGGCGGAGCTCATCTGCCAGCAGAAGGTGATTGATGCTGAAATTGTGCGATCTATGGAACAATTTTGTTAATATGATTGGCAATAAAATTCGAATGAACGTTATATGAGATCAATCAATTGAAAGGATTTTAAAAAATAAAACAAATCAAAGCTCTGCAAAATGTTTTGAAAGCACAAGAGCTGATTTACCGATAGAAGAAGCTGGGTAGTGCGGAAATTAGATTCCACAATGTTGCTGAGATGGGATGGCGATCCATTAGTTCGGGGACGTAAATCTGACGTTGTCTCGACAGAGCTGTGCTGTCCTCAGGTTTTGCCGTTGCAGCTTTCCTTCTACCACCACCAGCTCGAGGTAACAGCAAGTTTAAGCGGCTAGAAAGGATGAATTCAAAGCTTGTCAAAAAGTTCGTATGAAATTTCGTAGTTATCATTACAACAAAATTTTATTCAAGTTCGCAAAAAATTTGATTATGAAAAGATTTTAAAAACCTTGAAAAACACCTACTTTGAGGTAAAGTCTACATCCAGCAAATGTTGTGTCTGATCATAGATCTCCAAATTGTACTTCTTAATGAAATACTCATTGAATGAAGAGTACTCTTCATCAGGAAACGGAGACGATGGTGTGAGGTTCTCAAGGATCTTAAACAAGAGAAGAAGGTATATAAGGCAAAATGGTATTAGAAACAATTTCTACCTCAGCAACATAGTAAAATACTGGTTGTTCCAAATTTCTATACCATGGCATCACAACAGCATCTTTATAGTTTAGTGGACTGCAAATACAAATATTCAATCAAAGCTTTTATCCTTTCTCAAAAAAAAAACATACTCAAACTTGAAATTTCTCCGTTCTTCTTCATCAGGAACTCTAGGTGTTTCCCCCATCATATTCACAACTTCCTCAACATATTTCATATTGATGCTGTACTCAAATTTGTCATTGAAAATGGATGCCGCTGAACGAGATTGACTCATTTGTAAAAGAAAAATGAATTTTGTATGAACCTCATTTTAAACATTAGAAAAACATGATGGGCACTAAGAATTATCGTTAAAAAAGATTTTGAGCTACAGTGGTAAATCCAGTACAATCACAATAATAAGCGACTAGGTAAAGCCTGTAGCACAGGAAATAATTACTTCTGCCAACGACAATTCCGTTGCAGACTGCTTATTCTCTGTTAATGAAGTAAAACATAAGCAAAACCATCCAATACGATTTTGTAGTGAGCAAGAAAAGCTCATCCCAGTGGTAAAATGGAGAAAAAATAAAGTTAAAAATCACAGTGGCACTGGCTATAATACATCTAGAAAGTTGGACAAGGCAAGTAAACTTACTTCTATGTAAAGGAACGATCAGCGTATTTATAGGTGTAGAAGAGTCCATATGAAAATCCAAATTAGCTTTACACAATTGCAACACATTTTTAAAGATATAATGATGAAAGTGTTTGATCATAGTGAGATTCTGGCTATTTAGCGTAACCTGAAAAACTTACGTTTAACTTACAGTGAAGCCGAATGCACAGACAACGTACCTGAGTAGAAGCTCTAACAAGATGTACCCGCATGTCGCCTTGACGTAGATATGCAGCAAATGGAGGGATCTTCGGTAAAATCTTTGAACTGAGAAAACCAAACAGATACTCGTAATCAAGAGGATTAGCAAATCGACGACGTTTGGGGTTCGATTCTGGTGATGGCTCTTTAAGAAGTTCCAGTTCCATAACGTAGATGTAGCACGGCTCTCCTTTCACCGGCAAAGCCTCATGGAGAGCTGTTGCAACCTAAAAAGCTGTTAATTATTAGCACACTTTTTGCTTGCAAAATGGGAAGATTGAGGTTTAACCCAGAGTCCATGAGATTTAAATGTAGAAATGAAATAAACATGCGATTACCTCGATGAAAAGCTTGCGAGTTACAATTGCAACCTATCAAACGTTAGCGAGCTTGATTTATGATGCAAATAACAACTGCTAGTAAGCAGAAAAACACATTTTAGAATACAGCAATGAAAGGACGTATAGATTCCTTCTATATAACCTTCCAACGCTCATGTGCATTTTGTGTAATAAGATGACATAGCACCCCAGTATAAACTTCTTTCAGCTCACCCTCTTGTCATAGAGCTGCTTCCTTCTTGCCGAACCCACTTTCGCTGATAATCCTGGTGCCCATTCATCCGGGTCCTCATCTAGCTGGTTGAGGAGTTCTGCTATGGATTCACGCCCAACAGGGAGAAGATGGTCATTTAATTCCCCGTTTTGATGCAGGACTCGGCATGCCTGTAAACGCTCTCCATTTAGACACTTTCAGACTTAAAAAACTAGGAACGTACAAACCTCTAGTGCTACAGCCATTTGAGCTAATTTCTTGCTCTCCATGGGCGTTTCTAACGTGATTGGCCGTTTGATAGGTGAGTTAATGGGTAGCAAGAGCTCAGCTTTATACAACGTAACTCCATGGAAATTCACAGCTATGAGACGATTCTGAGGTACAAGGCGAGTAAAAATATCAGATGGCAGCTTTGCACAGTACCTAAAAAATTACTAGATAAAAATTAAAGCAGAGTAGGTCTAATTATTTGCTATTTCCCACCTATTCACTAGTCCTATAGCTGACGACAACGAGACTTGAGCACCAGTAGATGGAACAACGTATGGAGGAATCAATGCATCCACATTCTCAGCCAAACCCAAATCGTTTTCAGATTCTTCCGTGGGATTATGGACATTGCGACATCGCCGTAGCAGCATCTAGAGCTCACGGAAATTAGCCAAATCGACTAGAGCTATGAGA